AACTTTTGATTCAGATTCTCACAAACTGGGCATGCTCAGTGCCTGAACTGATTGTCCAGTTTTTCAAATCAAGGCTTAACTACTTTTTTGTTTGGAAGTTGATCTAAAAAGCCCCTTTGCAGCAAAACTGTTCACACAGGGAGAAAACTTGTGTTGGTAGCATTTGATTTAGGTAGGGAAAATGGAGAGGTTGGTTAGTATTTTGACTAGAGGATACTATTACAATTTTCTCTTGTGCCAATCTCATAAGTCAAGAGACTGAGCTTTTAATTCAGGGCAGCTCTGTCTGTCACTTGCTAAGTGGCCTTGGATAATTCACTTCAGGCTATTTAGTGAGCAAGTTCCATGATGTCATCTTTAAAGATCTCTTCCATTTCTAAAATCTTATGTCTTATGAATTTGAGTTGGTAAAATACCCTCTTGTGTTGTAGACCAGTCTGACCCCTTAGTTATGTGTGGAATGTGCTGAGCCGTGTTTAAAGCCAAGTTTAGATGTTGATATTATTGCTGAGTGACACTCCTTTTGTTATCTAAAGATTTCAAAAAGTATAAGGCTTTTAAAATGGTCATGTTTAAAACAACTTTCAGCTCAAGAAGTGAAAGTAACTGTTATTATAGTTATTATTAGTGGTAGTGTTGAAATTTTTTGTGAAGAATTCAGTACTTACTTTTCTGAAGGCGTTTATATATAAATGTGTTCTAAATATATGTACTTTTGGGATAAAAAATCCTAGAAAAGGAAATTTGTTTAGAAAAGCAAGAGGATAGAAAATGTATTGATAACACATTCCAAGGCATGTTTAAAAGGTTTTATTAAAAGATAAATATATTTACTTAACAAATAAAAACCCATGGAGGCCGGGTGAGGTGGCTCACGCCTGTAATCCTAGCACTGTGGGAGACCAAGGTGGGCGGATTGCTCCAGGTCAAGAGTTCAAAATCAGCCTGAGCGAGACCCTGTCTCTACTAAAAATAGAAAGAAATTAATTGGCCAACTAAAAATATATATACAAAAAAATTAACCGGGCATGGTGGCGCATGCCTGTAGTCCCAGCTACTTGGGAGGCTGAGGCAGGAGGATTGCTTAAGCCCAGGAGATTGAGGTTGCTGTGAGCTAGGCTGATGCCACGGCACTCACTCTAGCCTGGGCAACAAAGTGAGACTCTGTCTTAACAAACAAACAAACAAAAAACCCATGGAGTTGCAAATATACCCTTGGTGTGAAAATACATTTTAGGCAGATCTGTTATGTAGGTGGAAATACATGTAAGCACAAATTACTGTACTTTAAGCAGTCATTCTTGAACTAGACAGTATGAAAGAGGAAGTATTATGAATTTCACTCTGAAAATAGTGCATGGGAGCAGGAAAATGTACATTTTTTAAAAAATCAAAATAGCTTTACTTTCATGGGAGAAAATTCGAATTTGAGGAAATGCATATTGTAAAGTATTTAGTATGGATTGTAAAGTGGGAAGCCATTTATTGATTTTAAGTACTAAACAGAAGGAACACTTTGTTAAAAAGGAGGAGAAAAAGAATATACACCACCTTCCAATGTAAAATGAGTATTTGAAGATTGTGTCTGGCAAAGGTAATTTATAAATAGGAAATTGCCTAGCTGTATATGTGAATAGAAAAATGTGATATTGCTGGAATAAACCAAACAGTAGATTTGAAAACATCAGAGTTCAAATCCAGTAGATTTGAAAACATCACAGTAGTTTCATCATATCTGTATGTGCTGCAACAATGATGAGCATAAGGAATTTTCGGTTTCGAACAAAGGCCTGTTTGTTTTCATAGAATTGGTTAAAAAGATATTTCATTTTACAGTGACTTTTTTAATGGCCAACGTCTGTGATCTAGGGTGAAGTTAAATAGCACTGAAATAATGCTCATAATATATTGTGAATAATATATTATGACCCTTTTCCTCTTATATTCTTGCTAAGAAGACTGTATGGAGGAAATAAGTGAAACATAATGTTCTTTTGAGCTTATAAAACTTCATAGTGTTTGCCCAATTCCATGGACAAAGAGACTGCCACTTCCTTGGGTTAGAGTTTGAGTGAAATAAGAAATGTTCATCCCTGCTTAAAGTAAGCATTCCAGGTTCTGAATTTTAATCATGGCAAGGATGTAATTTTTTCTTTATTCTGTTATTCCTTGAACATAATGCTTAAGTCTTAACATGTCTTTTTCCTATAGTGTGTTAGAACACTTGTCCCCTGGACTCCGTAGAATCAGATTCACAGATTTATGCCTCATTACTACCTAGATTTGTGACATTGAGCATACGTGCATTTATCCTCACTAAAGATCTTCATCTATATAAATATAAAAATAACTGCCATTTATGCCTTACTGGGTTTATCGTCATGGCTTTGGAGAAAGCAAAGGGGAGAAATTTAATCTTATTTAATGTTCAGGGTTCTGTGATCCTTTAATATGGTTGTTATTTATAGTTGGCAAAGCTTATAAATGTATGAGGTCTTTTTCAAAAATTTATAAATAAGTGATTTATATTTTACCTCTTGGGACAAAAATGTTAACAGTTCTTTGAATAATCAAATTAATACATCTTTGGTCTTTGATCTTTTCATTTCAAGGATAGTTCCTCATTCTACCTGCCAGCCTACTTATTAAACTTTATATCCATTCTTCTTGAAAACATTGTCTATACTTGTTGACTCTGCTGCTTGTCCTTCACTCATTTGTCAGCTGTATTCTGGTTTGTGCCTGTACTACTACTCTGAAACTGCTGTAGCCAAGGCCACCATGTATCTGTTTGCTGCAGTCTAGTGGACTTTTCTCAGTCTTTATTATCTCATTGGCAGATAATACTGCTACCCACTTCCTCCTCAAAAGAGGCTCTAGTGATACCACATTTAACTGGTTTTTCACCTCCCTCCCCCTCTCTGATAACAACCAAATCTCCCTTGTACACTTATCTTTCTCTGCCTGCCTGCCTGCCGCCCGCCCCCGCCCGCCCGCCGCCCTCCCTCCTCCCTCCCTCCCTCCCTCCTCCCTCCTCCCTTCCTTCCTTCCTTCCTTCCTTCTCTCCTTCCTTCCTTCCTTCCTTCCTTCTTCCTTCCTTCCTTCCTTCCTTCCTTCCTTCTTCCTTCCTTCCTTCCTTCCTTCTCCCTCCCTCCTCTCCCTTCCTTCCTCCCTCCCCTTTCTTCCTCCCCTTCCTTCCTCCCCTTCCTTCCTCCCTCTCCTTTTTTAAGAGGCAGAGTCTCTTGCTCTGTCACCCAAGCTGGAGTACAGTGGAGTACAGCTATGTACAGTACTGCATCCTTGAACTTCTGGGCCCAAGCAGTCCTCTAGCCTCAGCCTCCTGATTAGCTGGGACTACAGGCATGTGCCATTGTGCCTGGCTAATTTTTAATTTTTTTTTTAATAAAGACAGGGTCTCACTATGCTGCCCAGGCTGGTCTCAAACTCCTGGTCCTCAAGCAGTTCTCCTATGGCCTCCCAAAGTGCTGGGATTATAGGTGTGAGCCACCATGTCTGGTCTCTACCCATCATTTAAATGCTGTTCTTCTTCAGAGGTCTCTTTGCTTCTCATGATACTGTTTTCCCTAGAGATCAGCATTTATTGCTTTAGTCATAGTCTGCTGACCATTCCAAGACTTCTCCTTGGCTTCAGACCTGTATATCCAACTATTAGACATCTTCACTGGACCCTTGTAGTAGGCTATACATGACATAAACCTGCTTCAGGCTAAAAAGGGAGATATGTTGCTTCATAAAATCTATGCTCAGGTCTACAGGTCAAATTGGTCTTTAGGGGTGACTAGAACTAGGGATTTCTGTCATCTGGACTTCCTCTTTTGTCTCTCCTTGTCAGCATTATTTCAGAACCATCTTCTGCATGAGGTTAGAACATTGTTGACTTTAAGGATGTCCTTAAAGTCCACAACTTGGCAGTTGGGAAGAAAAAGTAGGTTTACATTTTGTCCAGTTGGCAAGTAGAAAATTGCCTGACCAACGATTCTCACTTGACTCAGCTTGGTTTTCCGTGGTGGGAAAAAAAGTATTTATTTATTTATTTTTTTGAGACAGAGTCTCACTCTGTTGCCTGGGTTAGAGTGCTGTGGCGTCAGCCTAGCTCACTGCAACCTCCAACCCCTGGGCTCAAGTGATCTTCCTGCCTCAGCCTCCCGAGTAGCTGGAACTACAGGCATGTGCCACCATGCCCGGCTAATTTTTTCTATATATTTTTAGTTGGCCAGTTAATTTCTTACTAATTTTTAGTAGAGACGGGGTCTCGCTCTTGCTCAGCCTGGTTTAGAACTCCTGATCTTGAGTGATCCAGCCGCCTTGGCCTCCCAGAGTGCTAGGATTACAGGCCTGAGCCACCACGCCCGCTCAAAAAAAGTATCTTGATTAACACTCATTCCAGTGGCGATGGTGGGGGCAGGAATCTAATGGCTCGATTCAGAAAAGGAAGCCTAACTTAACCCTTATGCATCTTTCATGTACAATTCTAATTTCATTGGGTAAGTTGATAATTTTATTTATAGTTTTTGATGAACTATAGCTGCTTGATTATCTGACTTTTCAGGATTTATTGCTTTGTCAATTACTAAGTTGTCTGTAAGAATAAAGGACTCAACTGAAGAGACCTATATGAAAATGATGGGTATTTCTTCTTGGAACTAGAAACGTATATGTTGTAATCATAATGTTCTAATTAGTGGTTTTAAAAAATCAATTTGTTAAAATCATACTTTTGTGGTTGTGAAATAAGATGCTCCACGAAAGCAAGAATTTCTGTGTACTTTCTCTGCTATATCCCTAGCACTTGACACTCAAAAGGTATTCAAAAGTAATTTGTTGAATGAGTATCAGTTTGTTAAAATCTTGATTTTTTTTCCAGTGTTTACTTTTTTGGGTAATATTTACTCTTAATTTTATCATAGATTTAAGAAATAAAAGCTTTCAAGAACAAAGAATATTAACTTATGTTCTTTTACTTTTTCTTTTTCTCCTAGATTACCTGGTATAGGCTCTAGGTCAAGACAACAATTTTTATACCTTCCTGGTGGTTCAGAAATGAGTCTATAGAACCAGAAGCAAAGAAAGGAAACAATATTTTTCTTTATTCAGTCGACTATATAAGATACTTGGCTTCCAGGAACAAAAAACACAGTGAAATAATAAGATTATCATTTTGCATCATTGGAGCGTGTTTTTGTGGAACTTCCTGAGTTGAGATTTGGATTCTTCATCGGTGCTCATTTATACCTTGGACTGTAAGCATGAGTGAATTCTGGTTGTGTTTCAACTGCTGTATTGCAGAGCAGCCTCAGCCTGTAAGTATGAAGTATGTGCACATATTGGGTAGGGTGCTTGCTAAACATACGGCTGGTTCTCACACTAAGAATTGAGACCCTAGCAGTAATCACAGAGCAGTTCTAGGGCGTGCCACAGAATATTTCAGTAGAACTCCAAACATCTGTTTGTTTGTTTGTTTTTTTTTAAAGAAATTAATGGTTTTTTTGAGTAAACAGTGTGTCAAGAACTGTGCTAGACCATTCATTGTACATGGCTGAGAAGGCTGTGTTCTGCCAAGAGACAGCTTCTAGAGGAACAGCAAGAGAGAAAGGAGACAGTAATTGAGGTAAAACAGCTAAGTCAGCCTTGGAAATGAGTGAGTGGGAGGCATGCAGCTGGCTGCCCTCACATTCTGAACTCACCATCTGATTTTCCTCAGAGCAGCCCCTGAGGGCCTTTTTTTCAAGTGAAACAGGTTCAGTTTTTTGCTCAGAATCATATATATTGTAAGTGGTCTCAGCTGACTTCTTGGTGCATGCCCCACTTTTGTCCCTTCTAACCCATGCACATATTGGTATCTAGACCAAAATCTATCCTCCAGTCTCCACATTCTTGTTCATCTTTTAAGATGCCTAAACCAATGGCACCTGTATAAAATCTTCCCCAGCCTTAGATAATACCTCATCTATAGTCCTATAGCTCTTTAGTTCATTTTTCTGTTATTATATACTAAATATCTGTTCTACAGTCTCTCCTACCACATTTTGAATTCTGTAGGGGTCCTGACCATATTTACTTTGCATCTTCAGGATCAAATATAATACTTTGGAGAATGTAGGTATATATGCCAGCTGGTTGGCTGGCTGGCTGAACAAATAAATTTGTATTTTGTTCTATTTTGTTTATATTTGTAACAACATAAAGGGAAGAATATGGATTAAATTTTAAAAATGTAATTGAGTGCATACATATTAATTTTTATTACAAAAATTCACATAGTAGAGACAAAATTTAGAAAATAATCGTTTTTGCCCCTTTCCCCTAGCTCACTGATCCACAGGTGAAATTTCTTTTGGAGATTGGCATTTATTCCCTTAGACATCTCTCAGTGAATGTATACATAAATGTTTATATAGGTTTCATTATTTTTAAGTAAATGTTTTTATATGCTACATATTCTGTCACTTGCACTTAGCAACATATTTAATTTTTTACTTGACGGTCATATATACATGTTACTTGAATTTGTACTTACTGATTACTAGAGAAGTTAAACATTTTTTCATATATTTAGTGTAAATTTGTATCTTTCCTCTTTCATCGAGTTGCCTCTTTGTTGTCTTTATAATTTTTTTTTTGAGACAGAGTCTCACTTTGTTGCCCAGGCTAGAGTGAGTGTCATGGCATCAGCCTAGCTCACAACCTCAAACTCCTGGGTTCAAGCGATCCTTCTGCCTCAGCCTCACGAGTAGCTGGGACTATAGGCATGTGCTAACATGCCTGGCTAATTTTTTTCCTATATATTTTTAGTTGGCAAATTAATTTCTTTCTATTTTTAGTAGAGTGGGGGTCTCGCTCTTGCTCAGGCTGGTCTCGAACTCCTGACCTTGAACAATCCGCCCGCCTCAGCCTCCCAGAGTGTTAGGATTACAGGCGTGAGCCACTGTGCCTGGCCTGCCTTTACAATTTTTAATTGGGTTGTTTTACTTTGTCTATTTTTGCAGCTCCATACCTGTATTGTGGTTAAGGATACTATCTTTTGTTATAGGTGTTTTTCTCAGTATATCAGCTAGCTTTTTAACTTGGTGGAGTTTTTCATCATAGATAAGTTTTCCTTAAGAATACCTTCACCATTATAATATTTTAAAGGCCTACAACCATATTTTTTATACTAGTTTTTTATTTTGCTTTTTACATTTAGCTCTTTGATCCAGGTAGAATAGAAGGTTGATTAATTTGTGTGGTGTGAGGGTGGTCTGAATTTTTCATGCTAATCAGATATCTAAATACAGTATGTTAAATAGCCAATCTTTTTATTAGTGATTTGAAGTGTCACCTTTATTATATATATTACGTGTTCATTTTTTTTTTTTTTTTTTTTTTTGAGACAGAGTCTCGCTTTATTGCCCAGGCTAGAGTGAGTGCGTGACATCAGCCTAGCTCACAGCAACCTCAAACCTCCTGGGCTCAAGCAATCCTGCTGCCTCAGCCTCCCGAGTAGCTGGGACTACAGCGCGCGCCACCATGCGGCTAATTATTTTCTGTATACATTAGTTGGCCAATTAATTTCTTTCTATTTATAGTAGAGACAGGGTCTCGCTCTTGCTCAGGCTGGTTTCGAACTCCTGACCTTGAGCAATCCAGGCATGAGCCACCGCGCCCGGCCTATATTACATTTTCATTTAAGAGTCCATTTCTGAAATCTGGTTGGCACGTGTGTTTATACCTATGCCACTACCTTACTTTTTTAATTTCTGCAGTTGTTTGATGTGTTTTGCTGTCTCATGGGGCAACTCTTCGTAGCTCTTTTTTAACTGTATGGGTAATGTCCTATTTTTTTGAGCTAGATTGGTGCTTACATGTGTCCTTATTTTGTTCTTTATATTTCTTTGTGATATTTCATAATGCATATTTTTTTAAAATTTTAGCATATTATGGGGGTACAAATGTTAAGGTTACATATATTGCCCATGCCCCCCCCGGTCAGAGTTTCAAGTGTGATCATCCCCCAAACATTGCACATCTCACTCATTGTGTTTGTGTATATCCATCCCCTCCTCCCCCCTCCCACCCACCTGATAAATGTTGTTCCTATATGCCCACTTAGGTGTTGATCCATTAATACCAATTTGCTGGTGAGTACATGTGGTGCTTGTTTTTTCATTCTTGAGATACTTCACTTAGTAGAATGGGTTCCAGCTCTATCCAGGAAAATACAAGAGGTGCATATCCACCATTGTTTCTTAAAGCTGAATAGTACTCCATGGTACACATATACAATTTTATAATCACGCATATATTGATGGGCACTTGGATTGTTTCCACAACTTTGCAATTGTGAATTGTGCTGCTATAAACATTCGAGGTGTCTTTTTCATAAAGTGACTTGATCTTTTGGGTAGATGCCCAGTAGTGGAATTGCTGGATCAAATAGTAGATCTACTTGTTCGTCTTGAGATATCTCCATATTGCTTTCCACAGAAGTTGACTAGTTTGCAGTCCCACCAAGCAGTGTAGGAATGTTCCTATCTCTCCGCAACCATGCCAACATTTATTGTTTGGGGACCTTTTGATAAAGGCCATTCTCACTGGAGTTTTGTGGTTTTGATTTGTATAATGCATATTTTAAACCTTATAGCATTTTCTTTGTGATTGCATTGAATTTAGAGAGTAATTAGGTGATAATTGAATCTTTAGAATTTTGCATAGTCCCACTGAGAAGCATGGCATATATCTTTATGTAGATCTTTTCAGATTCTTTTTTTTTTGTTGTTATAGGGTCTCACACTTTTGCCGTGGTTAGAGTACAGTGGTGTAATTATAGCTCACTGCAACCTCAAACTTGTGGGCTAAAGTAATTCTTCTGCCTCAGCCTCCCAAGAAGGTGGGACTATAGGCACACGCCACCATGCCCAGCTAATTTTTCTATTTTTTGTAGAGACAGGGTCCTGCTAATGCTCAGGTTGGTCTTGAACTCCTGAGCTCAAGCAATCCTCTTGCCTTAGCCTTCCAAAGTGTTAGGTTTATAGGTGTGAGCCACTGTACCCAGTCTCATATTTTTAGTAAAGTTCTAAAATTTTATTATATAAGTTTGTGTATTTCTTGTTAGATTTGTTCTAGATGTTGTATGGATTTTGTTTCTTTTTTACTATTTGAAGTCCTATTTTTATGTTTCCTAACCGATTATTACTAGTGTATAGGAAGCTAATAATTTTTATATGCTAATTTTTAATCCAGACTCCTTACTGAACACTTGAATTAGTTTTTAAAATTTTATTTTTATTATTATTATCATTTTTTGTGACAGGATTTTGCTGTGTTGCCCAGGCTGGTCTCAAACACCTGGATGCAGGTGATCCTCCCTCCTCGGCCTTCCAAGTAGCTGGGATTACAGTCATGCACTATCGTGCCTGGTTTTGAATTAGTTTGATAGTTAGTTGAAATGCTTATGTCTTCTAAATATCTCCAGATAGTGGCATTTTTTAGTTGTTTTCTGATATTTAAACTGTTTATCCTTTTGGAATCTTAACTGAATTAACTAAGACCTAGCATAATGTTGAATAGTGCTAGTGTTAGCTGAATATCCTTGCTTATCCTGACTTTTTATAATCTATGATGTTATCAAAGATTACATTTTCAACAGTGTTTTAAAAGATTGTGGAACACTTGAGTCCTATTGCCATATTAAGTATGCCTTGTAATTTTTTGTTGAACATGATGATATACTGGGTGAAAGGAGCCATGGTAAATAGGCATTTATTTTGAGATTTCATGTTTATCTGGCTGGGGTTTAGGGCATTTTACTATTTAGTGTAGCTTTAGGTGTTACCATAGGTGTTGGAGGATAAAGTTTCCTCTTGTGCCCTTGTGTTTGTCCTCTCTTGTCTTTGAGTTTGAGACTAATAAGGCGCTTGCTTCTTTTGTAATCCCCTTATATGTGAGCCCTGTAGGTGTGTGGTAAGGTGTGGGGGGGAGGGGAAACATTATATAGTGCTATGATTAGGTCTCAGATTTTCAGTGAGTCTGGGCCCCTGGCTGTGACCTACACAAAAGTGCTTCTCAGTTTTGTTTTGTTTTTATCCCCAAGTGAGACAAAAAGGCTAGAGCAGACTGAAGTTGGATATTTATTTCCCTTCCCCCAAATTGGTTAGTGTTTGGTAAAACCCAGTTGGTTAGGCTCTGGTGAAATAGTTTCTCTTGAGGGCAAGCCTTATTAGAAGAACAGAGTGCTCTGGTATAGTTCAGCATGGCTGCCTTTCCCCTCCTTTGCTGAAGCACAGGAAATTTTTCTCTGATCTCTATTGTGAGAACCTGGTAG